GGCCTGGCTCTGCCTCCGACAGGCTGTGTGACCCTGGGCAAGTCCCTTCCTCTCTCTGGTCCTCAGCATCCTGTATTCTAAATAAACTGGCCTCCACTCAGCCTGAGGACCAGTGGGCGGCCCACGGAGGCCATGGAGCGTGGTGAGTGTGTGCACGCACGTGTGTGTGTGCACGTGTGCACGCGTGTGTGTGCGCGTGTGCATGTGTGTGCCGAGAGCAAGCTGAAATCATCTAAACCACCACAAAACAACACCCACGCCCCCTTCTTTGGGCACTCATTGAGGACACCCCCCTCCCAGCGACTTGGAAAACCTTGGAACCCAGATGAGGAGGCTCTGGACTCTGCAGGAGCCTGTGGATGGCTGCTGCTGGGGGTGAGGAGCCAAGGTCCCCGCTGAGGGAGGGGACAGCTCCATGGGCCCCGGGGAGCGAGGAGCACTCCTACCCTCGTCCAGAACACAGGCGGCCCAGAGAGCCCTCCCCACGGTGCTGCCTCCACCTGGAAAGGGGGGCAGCAGGTTTCTCCTGGACCCAGCCCAGGGGCAGGGAGAGGAAGGAGGAGCCTGAGCTGCCGTTGCCCAGCCGCGCCCCAGGTTCCAGTCCTGAGCCAGGGCGGCTGTGGGCTGGCCGGAGGTTCCACCCGCCTCTTGCCTGTGGTGATTCTGAGCCTCAGGGACAGTGCATTTCCAAGGTGGCCTGAGTTCCACCGGCCACGCCCACCACCAGGGAGTCCACAGGCCTGCCCCTCCCACTGAACCTCCCAGACCCCTCATCCCGCCCACTTGTGCTCAACCCGACGTGACACTCCCTGAATTCTTCTGGTTTCCTTCCTGAAAGTTTCTCTTCCCTGGCTCTGGGGCAGGCCCTGGCTCTAAGACAGAGTCAGGATGGCAAGGGAAAGAAGCAGGGAACAGAGACACACCCTGGTGACCCACGGCCGGACAAGCCTAGAGGACACAGGAGCAGAAAGGACAAGAGGAGCCACCGGTCCGGGGAGTGGGGAGGCAGAGGCGCTGCTTCAGGGGACAGTTTCAGCTGGGACCGTGGAGAAGTAGTCAGGTCGCACAGCTGGGCGCCTGGAGGACTGCCGGGATCCTGCGCCTGAAATGGCTACAGTGGCCAGTCCTTCCCCCAACTCTGCAAAAAGAAACGATCTGCTACCTCAAATGGAAACAGCAACAATGTCACTTGCATTTACAACAATGTCATCCAAATCATGCCAGCTTCCCCATGGCGAGTTAAAAAGGAACCTGAGCACGTGCTGGAGGCCTGGGAGGGTGCCCACAGCTAAACTGCCCAAGTCCCCCTCCTCGAGGACCAGTACAACCAGGACCTCCTTGGGAACTGTCTTTGGAGCCCTAGTCACGGGCGTCCCTGGCTTTGGAAGCCCCCTCCTGCCCATGATGTCCTCTGCATTTTCTCAACGATTTTCTCTTGTGGGCCTCTGTCCACACGTCACGCAGCCATCTGGAAAGCTCTCCTGATTTCTGCAGGTGAGCCTTGTGAAAAACCAGCCTCTACCTCAGAGCAAAGCCTGTCCAAGGAAGGGGCATGACCTTTGTCCTTGGAAAGACCCACAGAGCACTCCTAGGCACATTCCCACCCTGCTAAGTTGTTTACCTACAAATAACAGGAGAGGTCTGCTGGCCAGGTGTCCCTGACTCAGTCAGGCTAGGTGGGGATCCATAGCAACCCCCTAGCAACCACCAATCAGCATGAGACAGGGAAATACCTGGGATGCCAGATGACCCTCCCAGTACTTGATGGTGTTGAGAAACCGCATAGTTCAGCAGGAACACCCCTCTTGGCTTAAGCCAATCAGTTCAAACAGAATCCCCCTCTTGTAGTAACCAATCCCCCTACCCAACCTGTTCCCGCCAGTGAATGTGCTTATCCTGTTTTAGAGTTGTTATTTGATTTTCCCACGGTGTGTGATGATTTGCTACGAGATGCTATGATGTATGGGGGGGTCCCTGCCTTCTCCAAAGAGTGTATAAAACTGCTGCAAACCCTGGGCTCGGGGCCACCAGAGTCACCAGTTGCTGTGTGCACGGAGGACCGAGCTAGCTCGCAATCAACACCTCTTTGCTGCTTACATCCATCTTGGTCTCTGGTGGTCTTTGGGGGTCCTGAATTGGAGCATAACAACGTGGAGAGGGAAGCCACCTGTCGCCAGGGTGACTGAGTCTGAGGACCAAGTGTAGAAGCTTCTCCCCTCCCTCGGCCACTCCCGATTGCCCCAGGGCCCCGGCGCGGCATCCTCCGGACAGTACTTGTCCAGGGGCCCAGGTGCTGCGCTCTCGAGGCCTGCCCTCGGCTGGACTCTGCCGTGTCCACAGGTCCCCCGTGGACAGGAGCTCTCTCCCGCTGGCCCGGCACAGGACTGAGCTCTCAGGAGGCCTCGGTTCAGACCTAACTGCAGGCTGTGACCCTCCGCACAACAGCGGAAACCACCGACCTCCCCACAAGTCACCCTCCCCGCAGAGGAGGACCGCGGGGATCGCCCGTAGTGGGCTACCTGGGGCGCGCCCAGCACCCTCACGGCTGTGCCATTGGAGCCCGGGGCGGGGCCGGGGCGGAGCTTGGGCGGGG